TGAGGGGAGGAGAGTGCGGCCCGTCGGGGGTGCGGGCGTCCCGCTGTGCCGGCCTTCCCTTTTCCTGAAGGCTTAGCCGCGGAGCCGCCTCGCTCAGGGTCATGGGCCGGCCGTTCCCAGTGGGTGATTGGGGAGGGCTCTCCCGCGCTGTCCGCCGGCCACCTGGGGGCTTCGCCGCCGAGAGGTGGCGTAGATGTAGCAGCGTATGCTTAGGGAGAGCAGCGGTGTTGTGCTGCGGACGTCAGAGGGCAAGCTCTGGGGGCTGGGTGCAGATACTGCTCCGCGGGGTCGGGAGAGTTATGCGGGGCTGTCAGACCGTGCGATTGCATGAAACTCTGAAGTCTTTAAGGAGTCACTCTTCTTAGGCTTGACTTGCGATGCTGAGCAGGCTATGTTAGCGTAATTCATGACAAACTCCCTTAAAGAAAGCTTTGCTGTAAAAGTAAATGCATGCACCACGACCCAGGAATTCTTCAGAGAAAGACTAGATTCGTTACTTTAACACTTCAAGGACTTGTTCTGATCGCTGTTGCTTGTGTTTTTTTAGATGGTGGTGCAGCAGATAAGATTAATTTAATACCTCAAGACTTTTTTGCAGAACTGGTAAGTAGGGCAATAAGTGGGATGTGGAAAGAAACCTTTTTGTTTAAGCTCTTCTGTTTTTTGTCTGTTGTAAAGGTAATCTTATATATGCGGTAGCTGAGATTTATGTGACTCATGAAATGGACCAGTCCTGATAAGAGCCATGGGATTGCTTTACATTTATGTTATTATCATGGAAGACTTTTAAGAACATATTATTGCTTTTCATCTAAATGACACATCAAGCTAGTTTGTCTAGAGAACGTTCATCTTGTTTACTGTAGTGTGCACTTGAACAGGAAGCCTGTTCAATTAGTATGAAAATGGCATGTTAAGTAGGAATAGCTAGTGAGGCAGTAACTGAAGGTCTTGACTGAATTTATTTGCTTTTCTTGGTTTTGATACACTTTTAATATCAGTCATTTCAATGACTTTTTTTCTTGAGTTCACATTTAAAGCCATCTCCTGTCGTCCGTCTTTGCATTAACCAGTTTTATTTTTGTTTTGTAGTCTCCAAGTAGTCAAGCTCGCTTTGTCTTGTATATTAAAATATGCATTAAAAATGTTTTCAAACTTTCTTTGCAGTGTGAACAAATAATTCAACATCTGAACCATAAGATCCCTGGTGTAAATACAGCTGAACTATGTCAGGTAAGTTTGGATGCTAGCACTTGCAAGTATATTGGCTATATATGCTGTAAAGGATAGATTCCCCAAGTCTTTGTGTGTGTATATACAAAGAAGTTTTTATTAATGTATAATTTACTATTAATTATAATTGCTTGAACATTCTGTTTCTAGAGAATTCAAACATCTGGGATTGAAATTGGTATTGGTGACCTGGCAAAAATAGCTAACATTGTTTCATTTCTATTTAGGTAAGCACAACATAATTTACTTTGCCTCATGTCTTTTTTTCCTTCCACCTCAACTTAATAGTGGTATTAAAAAGTGACATCAAATATGGGTATAAACAATCTGATTTGGGAAAAGGGCAAACATTTGTAATTCTTAGTACACAAAGAAAGAACTGGCTTTAGTTTATGTTCCCAAAAATATATACCTACTTAATATATTGTCTCACTTCTTTAAAAAAAAGAGGAAATTGTTCTATGATCCTGTCTACAAGCTTTAGAACTCCTGGCAAAACAAAAGAGGAAGCTAAGCTCTGTTCAAAAGCTAAGTCAGCTAGGCCTTTTCCTGGAAGAAGTGTGTTCTAAAAACTTCTTGTTTCTTAGAGATTAGAACCATAGAATCAACTAGGTTGGAAAAGACCTTTAAGATCATGAAGTCCAACCCTTACCCCAGGACTGCCAAGACCACCACTAAACCATATCACTGAGGGCCTCATCTACGTGGTTTTTGAACACTTCCAGGGATGGTAACCCCACCACTTCCCTGGCCAGCATGTTCCAATACCTGACCACCCTCTCTGTGAAGAAATTGGAAATTGTTCCTAATATCCAATCTAAACCTCCCTTGGTGCAGCTTGAGGCCATTTCCTATTGTCCTATCTCCTGTTACTTGGGAAGACACCAGCTTCCACCTCACTACAACCTCCTTGTAGGTAGTTGTAGAGAGCAATACGGTTGCCCGTGAGCCTCCTTTTCTCCAGACTAAACAGCCCCAGTTCCCTCAGCTGTTCCTCACCAGACTTGTGCTCCAGACCCTTCACCAGCTTTGCTGCCCCTTTTCTGGGCCTGCTTCAGCACCTCAACGTCTCTCTTGTAGTGAGGCACCAAGAACTGAACACATTGTGGCCTCACTAGTGCTGACTAGGGAAGTGATCATACCCTAGTCCTGCCGGCTACACTATTTCAGCATTTGTGCCTGTTTGAAGGGCACACAGTTTTATAACATTGAACTGTGCTGTGATAAAGGTAAAGCTTTTAGGTGGTATTTTTAGTTGTTTTGTTCTGAGTTTTTCTGTTTTCACAAAGAAAGCCTTTTCATGATCTTGCTGCTTGTGTTAATATCTAGTATCTAAACATTTTATGTAATGTTAATATGACTGAAGAAACCATACCAGTAGAAATTCAACATATTGCTTTTTTCCTCTATAAAATATAAAACCTTTATATTAGACCATGCTACTTGAAGCACCAGCTCTTCTCCTCTTTTATTAATGCGTTTTAAAGAGGGGTGGATCTGCATGAACTGCTCTATGCACACACCTTTCACTAAATTATGCCCTTTCTCAGTTGCAACAGCACTTGGAGGTAGTGATCATTTTTGTTTTAATGTTGCATATTGCACAAGCCTTGCAAAGCTTGGTGTCTGCATATTAAGACATACTAAAAGTCAAGTTCTGTTGTTTTTTGCATGTGGATACGTAAGATTAGTAAAATATTCTAGGGAAAAAATATGACAGGCTACCTAATAATTGTAAGGTATATAGACATATAAAGCAGATATAAATTGCCTATTTGGCGTGAAGTGAGACGTTTTATTAAATTTGTGGAGAGTGAAATTGATGTGGTGTTCTCTGGATATGCCTATAGCACAGCAGCCAGAAACCATCTCTCTACGGAAGAACTCATGACCACCTTGGGCAATGCAGTCAGCGCGCTGCCGAAACACGCACTTCAGGTCATTCGTCATGTGTGGAATGAGCAGGGCAAATCCGTTAGTGTGTCAGAAGATGCAGGAAATATGGCCACGGTGGGGCAGGTAACTAAATGACACAGTGCAGCTGAGCTATTAACTTTCCAGATACATCAGTGTTTCATTGTGTGTGTTGTATTGTCAAGGACGTGGTGGTATCTTGACTGCCAAAAGCTTTCATATATATACAGACACACACACATATATATATATATATGTTCATATATGTTGCCAAATGCCTACCCAGATAAAGGAGCTTATTATAAAATAAATGTTGACTAAATGCTGAACAGTTTTCTAATATTGTTGCTTGGACAATAAAGTTACGTTTTATAGCTCTTTAAAAATTAGCCTTTCATGGTACTACTAGGGAAGGTTAGTGGCAGTCAATTGTATTGGCTGGCTGTGTGAATCTGTTTTAAATTTAATTTTAATTGTTCTTTCGAGTTGATAACATCAGCATTTGATTGTTTTATTCTTTGTCTCCTTAAGCAAGTTTAATTTTTTTTAAAGATAACTTTCTGTCAAATTCCAGCATTCCTTTTTTCCCCTTTTTTAAGAAAATACAGAGCGTATTTGCACTTTAAAATCTTTTTTTCTAAGAACGGTTAAAAGTATGGAATTAGGGGAAAAAAAATTTGTCTGAGGCTTGATAGTAAGCTTCTCTGAAGGCTCTCTTCACTTCTTTATGCAAGTTCTGCCTGTCATAAAAGGCTAAAAATGATAACTTGCCTGTCCGAAATGTTTTTATGATATACTTTGGTTTATCTAAAATTAACTTATGAAATTCTTTTCTCCATTAGTTCTATTATAAAAATTTTTGAGCACTGTCCAAGGTTTTACTCATGTTGCCACTCGATTTAGAAACCTCTTAAAAAAAACAATGACCAAAGCATGCATGGTATACAAGCCACGTGAACTGTATGGCTCAAGCTTCTCTTACTAGAACTTAAAACAAACTGTACTTGACTACTGACAGTACTTGAATAAGGAAAACGGATAAAGTGAAGTAACTTACTGCTTGTTTTGTTGCTATTAAAAGGATGATTTTTGTATTTGCAGTAATATCTGAATGTGTATGTTTCCCATTTGTATATGAGCTCTAGATGTTCTATATCGTCTGGAAAACATCTGTCTGACAGAATAGCAATAGTAGACTAGATCTTTCTTTAACTTTTTTTCCTTTGTAGTTTGTAGACATTAAATGGAAACTGGGAGTTGCAATGAGCTCTGACACATGCAGGTCTCTGAAGTATCCTTATGTTACGGTGACACTAACAGTTGCAGACCCTTCAGGACAAGTAACAGACAAAACTTTTGAAATGACGATCCCACAGTTCAAGGTCTGTGATCAGTGTTACCTGAATCAGTCTCTTGAAAACAATGACATTGTTGTGAATGAGCAACTGTATACCTTCATGCATATGTTTGTGTTGCTAATTTACTAATACAGTCATTCAAAGATGAAGCATTAAATAATTATCTAAAGCACTGAAGATGAATACTTACTTCATAGCATTTAGTTCTAGGTCACTTATCCAAAAATATTAATTTAGCAATAACTAATCTGTTAGTTTATGAATAAGCTAATAACTGAAGATGTAAAGACACTTGGATCTTTCTTGTCAGCTGTCACTCTGCCTTATTAAAAATTGATGGAACATTTTAAATCTAGGGAACTGTTCCCCAGGCTCAAAATCCAAAACTTGGGTTGAGTCTAACACTTGCTCATGATGAGGAATAGAGGTCAGTCTGCTTTGTCACCACTGGCTCTTAACTGCTGTATCTTCATCTATTAACTTATGTAAGTTTGTTTAATTTTGCATAAATGTGTCACTTCTGTTTAAAGGACAAATACAAAATATAGAATATCGCACAATCTTACAAATAAATAAATAAATACTTGGAGTTGGACTGGCAGAAATTCGAGAAGGATATCCTGAATCCTTAGATGCTGTGAAATACTAATTCTGGTTGAAACCTATTCCATAATTTGCTGTTCAGCTACTATAAGAAATAGACACTATACTTGATAATTCTGGATTATTTCAGCAGGGAATAGAAACATCTGTGAGAGAAGTGTTTTTTTATGGTGGTGGTCTTGTTGTTGGGATATTTTTTGTGGGGTTTTGTTTATAGTGGGTTTTTTTGTGGTTTTGTTTGGTTTTTTGTTTGTGATGAGAGAGCTACTTTTTATTTTTCTTTCATAGCCTGTTTTCCTGTTAATAGGCAAACCCATGCAAACAAGGCATCACCTGTGTAGATTTAATAGTGAATGTACCACAATGCCAAACAGGCCACAAAAAGAAAAGCAGAAAGTTCAATCTGCAAATTGTAACTGGAGGAAAGAGGGAATGTGAGAAATATGGATTGTGATTTTTGTCTAACATGCTAGTCTGAAGTACAGTTCGAGTGTTTCTTCAACCGACTGAAACCTATCTTAAACCTTGCTTTTTAGAACTTCTTCAGACAGTTCAAGGAAATGGCAGCTGTTCTTGAAACAGTTTGAAGAGAACTTTTATTTACACTGAAATTTCGGACCGACTTAAATCAAGTAAACTTTCTGTTCTGCACAGGGAATAAAGTGCCATTTTTCAGCAAGGTATGTATCCTTGTGTTTTCAACAGGTATTTGTCAGCATCATCCTTACATTGCTGTGAAGATTTCTTCACTTTTGAATAGTTGAAGCAACTCTGCAGTGTTTGTGAAAATGTGTTCACCTTTGTTCATCCTGGTAGACAAAAAATCAGGATGTGTACAGAGAAGACTGTGGACTTTCTAATATCCAACAATAAGAAACTACACATGGAACTCTGGAGTGCAGAAAGACGCCTGAAAATGTTGGCTGGGAAGATAAAGAAGTGTAAACCCCATGTTAGCACTTTCATCTGTAAAACTGAGATGCACTTGGGCTCAACGATAGTATTAAGTATAAGGAGAATATGAAGTTACACGTAACAAGCATACAGTTATTCTTGAAGAATAGCAATGTTAAGTAGATAGTTGTAGGTATTTACAGACCTGGATTTCAGTCCTAGTTTAAAAACTGGAGTAGTTGTCTTAATAGCTTGTTTATTTCAAATACTTATTTCCCATCACCTAGGCTTATAAAAACTGAGTTAATGCATTAAGCTTTTCTGGAGACCCAGAATTTATTCTCTGAAATGAAGCCCAGGGGCTAATTTTAAATAAAGGTAGAAAGGTGAGTTTAATTCAAAAGCATTTTAGTATATTTTTGCCTTTGCATTTAATCCAACCCTAATCTGTGGCACTCTGCTTGATGTTTTGATTAGCAGTTTGCTTCTTTCTAATTAAATTAGAATATTGATGTAGTTGCTTCACTTCAGGCTCTGAACTAGGAAAGTCAAGAGGAAAGTTGAAAATTCGGACTGGAGTGTTAGCCAAGCATGTCAGAGAAAGGACCTTGCTAAAAGTCAGCAAGATTTCTCTCCTTTTGTTGTGTGGCAGGAGTCCATTGGACTGTGGTGTTCTTGGAGAATGTCCTAATCTACAGCATTTTTGATTCTGAAGGATGGGGATATTTCCAAAGGGGGAGTGATAAATCCAGTATGCTTGCATGCTTTCTTTTTTTGTTGTTATTGTTCTGGTTTTGTTTTGTCCCCCCCCCCCCTTGTTTCCCATACAAAACACAAATTGCAAACATAGTGGGATGTAATAAAAACAATCCTTTCACATTTTGAGAAGTGGTGGTGGTGGTGTAGTAGGGCAGAGCAGGTAACTATGAAGAGAGACAATTCATACTGATAAGCAGACTGAAATTTATGCTGCAGGTTCGGAGTGGTAGAGACTGAGAACCAGTTTTGCTAGGACAGATCGTCGAGGGATTTCAGGCTCCCGTAAATGAGAGCATGATGTACTTCTCTAACCACTTTTTTTTTTTTTTTTTTAATTACCCTTTTCTAGAAGGTGGCTGAAACTCATTGGCACAGGTTATGTTTGTCTTTGTGTCATGAAAATAAACAGCACACTGCATGCTGCATACTGCAGTCTTTTCAATAGAGATACACCGCCACTGTCTGGGCATTCTGCGTGGTGCATAAAAATAGTACTTGGAGTTGCTTGAAAGCCCAAATCAGTGAAAAAGTGATGGCTTTAACAAGAGATAGTGAAAAGTTGTGGGCTGTGGCCGTTGGTCTGGATGATACTTCCCTTGTGCTGCTGAAGTCCGAGATGTTTGCTTTGTGGCTGGAGAGAACAGATTGCTCTTTTTTGGGACCCTGTTAGTGGAATGTCACAAAATGGCCTCAGGAACAGGCTTCCCATTTACCTTTTCCCTTTTCTGTCTGCAAGTGCTCAGGGCTGAACACAGTGCTAACAAAGCCTGTGGATATATGGAAAAGTGATATGAGCAGCTGATTTTTTTTTATTTTATTGTTAATTTGTGGAAGTTGGAGTGTAAGGCTGCTGTAACTGGAAAACGTTGTCATGCTTTGACCTAGTGAATTAATTGCTTTACATTAATGCAAGAGTTCTAGAAAAAAAATACTTTTTTTTTTTTTTTTTAAGTAAAGCTGGAGCCTTAAAAATAATTCCCATTTGTTCTAATGCACTTAAGTTCTTCATATAGCTGGAAATACTTGTGCCTTCATTGGAACTGGATGGAAGAGAAGATTTATTTGTGTCCTAACTTCTAGAAACAGCAATTTAGTAGATGCTAGAAGGTAATGAGGAAACGTCGAGGTACCATTTTACCTTGGTCCATCACCAAGAGGAGAAAGTTGGCAGCCTTTCAGAAATCTAACTTATATTTTGTCAAGTCAAATGTTCTAGAAATATTAATGAATATTTTTGAAATGTCCCTGAATTCCGGCATATTGTAACTCTGGCTGGAAGATGCCTGGACATGTGTGCCATACTGGTTTACTGCCTGAGAATTTTCAGAGGTGTTTATGGACATCTAGGAGATGTGATTAAAAGTTGGCTATGTACTGGAACTTCTGAGATTTGTCCTGATCACTATCAGTCAGAATTCCTATAATGAGTAATGGAAGAATTAAGTACTTTATTGGAAAAAAACCTAACTAAAATCCTAACATTTTTCAGGGTAGCAATATTAGCATGTTCAAACAAGCTATTAAATTGTTTGCCTATACGTGCAGAAACCAGACCTCTTCAGAGAGAATCAGGAGTTATTGTGTGTTTCTAATTCTACTTGTTGATTGATACGAAGTTGTATAACATGAGTATTTTTGTAAGCTCATTAAACATACAGGTAACAAAGGTAAAGATGGTCTGTATTTTGTTTTAAGCTGACTGCATGAAAGTCTGTCTCATAAATACTATAATGGGTAAAGTTCAGGGCTAGACTATGACTAAACTTCTTTCCTTAATAAATTAGGATGAAGTTCAGACAGTTGCAGTCTTTCTTTGTGCTGGGGTACCAAGGAACTGAGGAATAACTGCAGGCTGCAAGGAATATTTGTAGCAATTACAGGTAGGCAAAATGTTGTACTGAACTAGGAAAAGACAGGACAGAAGAGATTCATGACGTTTTGCAGGAAACTACATACAAGTGCTTTTCTTTCCTTCGCTGTATTTAGGGGACAAGTAAAAAATTTTTTGTTTTCAACATTTGCCTCAAACAGAGCAAGAGGAATGAAGGCGGAGGGGTGTCTTGCACAGTAAACAAACCCAACAGAGGCAATAATGAAGGAATCTCCTGGCAATGGCAATCTGTCATCTTCATCACATGACTTTCTTTGTTCTGCCTTTTTTACATTCATTTCAAACATATAGGCCCACCTGCAGAGAGCTGTTTTATAGAAAAATGGAGAGAAGTCCAGAGGAAGAGTGCAGAAATGGCTGTAGTCAGGTCTGTGTGCTAGTGTATTTAGCTTCTTCTGGCACACTTTAGCCTAGTCAGGGGCATGGTATAAAAGTATGTCTCTGTTCTTGTGTCCAGAAAATTGTACTGCCTTTCTTTAGCAACATTCTAAAAGTATATAACTTCTAAGCCCATCCCCCTTTTATTTTTTACCCTCCTCTTTTCAAGCCTTTGTACTCTTATCTTAACTATGGGTATAATGAGAGGGTAATTGCCACTCCTTTGCAGAGGCATGCAGGGTGGTTCTGCTTAGCCCATGGGGGTACTAAAATAACACACAGAGTGCCACAGTCATTTCATCTACTTGCAGTAAAAACTGCCCTGGCTCTGAAGAACCTTTGCAACACGGGGAGGAACTTCAAATTCAGCAGCCTATGGCCTATCCTATACCCTGTGGTTTATCGTGGCTGCGCTTGTTTCTGAGAGATTTTTAGTTAAGTGCTATGCAGCTGTTGGATGGGCTGCTAGCTTGCTGGGCATTCACTCAATTAGGAAGCTGGATCTGTGCAGGTCAGTACATGACGTAACAAATGCCTCGATGTAGTTTGAGCTTGTATAGTATGCTGCTACAGTCCTCCCTTCCTAAGGCTTGGTCACCTCATAAATGACTGCATTTGCTTGTCACTGTGCAGTTTTCACCAGATGTTTCCTTTACGTTTTGCTTCTACCATACAGCACTGTCTATACATACTCATCTAGTTCTGCTTTTGGTGCTTGAGTGCATGAGGGAGTGTGCATGTTAAAGGGATGGTGCCCAGCACTCCCCATACCTAGTCCTGGATGCTTTGAAAGACTTTCTAACTCTTGTTTCTGAGGCTTTTCTGAGGGAAGGTGGAGAAGCACCTGCCATTTGAACGGAGTTACTGGGGTATGTCTGTTAATTATTTATAAGATTGTGTCACTGAGAAAGAAGGAAGCTTAGATTCGTGATCTTCTCTGTGAAGGCTAATTTTACTGTTTCTGGGTTCCCTGTACTGCATTTTCCTCCTATAGCTAATGAACGGTCTGGCTGCCCTAACGTAAGAGCCATTTCAGTTCAGTATGTATAGGTGCCATACTTTCCAAATACTCTGTTAGTGTTTCCATTAGAAATATTGTTTTATTTATGAATTGGAAATTTCAGCATCAGTTTCAGAATCATAGAACTATAGACTCACAGAATGGTTAGAGTTGGAAGGGACCTTACAGATCATCTAGTTCCAACCCCCCTGCCATGGGCAGGGACACCTTCTGCAAGACCAGGTTGCTGAAAGCCCCATCCAGCCTGGCCTCGAACACTGCCAGGGATGGGGCAGTGTTCTCAGGGCAACTTGTTCCGGTGTCTCACCACCTGCACAGTAAAGAATTTCTTCCTAGTATCTAATCTAAATCTACCTTCTTTCAGTTTAAAGCCATTCTGTCTTGTTCTCTCACTACATGCCTTTGTAAAAAGTCCCTTTCCAGATTTCTTCCAGGCCCTGTTTAGGTACTGAAGTTGCTCTAAGGTCTCCCTGAGCCTTTTCTTCTCCAGGCTGAACAAGCCCGTCTCTCAGCTTGTCTTCATACGGGAGATGCTCCAGTGCTCTGATCATCTTCACATACTGAGCTTTGGAACAGTAAGCTTGAATATTCATATTAAAAAAGAAGGTAATATTTTTTAATTTCATATATTAAATTCCTGTGCT